TACTACTACTACTACTACTACTACTACTACTACTACTACTACTACTAAATAGTAATAATGCGTGCATTTACACATTATGCTGTGCTACCTTTAAACGACATATTAACTAACTATTACCAACAGTCACAGTTGAAAATTCACAAGTTCACAATGAACGGCTAAAAGGCTAAGAGCCTAAAAGGGCTACGGCTAGAGGCCTATGGGCCTATGGGCCTATGGGAGCATTCAGTTGATTTAGATATTGTTGTTGAATCGTTCAATGTTGCATTATCAGCACTGTCATGCAGTATGCAGCATTGTTTGTCTCAGGCACTGCAAATCCTTCATATCGAAGTCACTATGAGAACTTCGTCTTTACAAAGTCCGAATTCTTTCGCAAGTGGATACACTTCGCAACCACTTTGAGTTTGGTGCATTCGCTTCAGCGTCTCAATGTTTGGTGTCCTGGCTTAGTTTGGAGGTTAAGGTTGGAGCATTGGCATTAGGAGAAATCGAGGACTGAAGTCCAAACACCGACCTACCAACCAACTTACTAACATAAATTGGTTTGGTTGGTTCCACATGCACTGCAAAGAGTCGAGTCAACTAGTACCTAGGACCTAGGAGCCAACTTCACTGATTCAAGAATTTTTTTGTGTGGTGTCACCAGGTGCAGTGAGGACCAACCAAGTTTTGTCCAGTCAGCCACTGAGGGATTCCTTTTGCACCTGGAGCAACCGCTATGTGGACTTTTTGGATGCAAAATGCGATCCACAGCAGGCATTGAACATGATGCATAGCCTCGTTCTTCTCATTGAGGGAAACATGCGCAAGTACCATGATCCTTCTTTGATTTCCGCTGCAGTTGAGCAAGCATTGCGTTTCTGCGTCAGGATCTTAGTTGGAAATTCTCCTAATTTGCGCTCTGCTTGACGCGATGGTCAATGATTGTCCCAATTTTCTTGGTAGAACACATCCCCTTACAAACGGTCAAGCTGTAGACTGCAAATGATAGAAGAAGAAACCTGCAAACTTGCAAACATGCAATGCACATGGTATCAACATGTTTTTTGAGTCACTGGGTTACTGGTTCACTTGTTCAAACATGGACTATGGACTATGGACTACGGACTGCTTTCAGTCACAGAGTCGCAGTTTAGCAGTTACCGTATATCGGTTGAGGTGCCTATGGTCACCAATGGTGGTGAGAGACAAATACCATGGATCTTCCAGAAGGTGAATGAGAGTACAACGATGCAAATGAACCTCATCAACATGTCAATGGCCAACTCGGTGGTCTATCGCAAAATGAAGCTGGTTGGAGATGCACAGGAGCAAGAAAGCAAGAGCAAGGAAAAACCGAAGGCAGCGCTTGACAAGAAGAAAATCTCTGAGGCAGTGAAGGGCGAGTTGAGTGATATTGGACTGGCTTCCAGACCAGTTGAGGTTGCCATTGATGCTGACAATGCTGCTGGTGAGTTGGAGGAGATTGACCCCAACATGGAGGCTTCTCATCCTCGTTATCGTGATCCTAAGTCTTTGAGCAAGAGGGACAATCTGTCTGGACAGAAAGGAGCTGTGAAGGCCAAGCTTTTCCAGGGCTATCATCCAGACGAGCAGAAGGTATACACGTCTTTTGTCACGGCAATTGATGGCAGTGGTGAGACGCGGGAGAAGACTGCTCTTGATGATGCGGTTGGCGCATTGCAGTTCATTCTTGACCTGTGTGCTGTCAGCAAGCAGGCAGCAGCTGAGCGTCCAAAGAAAAGGGCCAGGAAGGATGTGCCATCTTCTACTCCTGCATCAGCCAATGAGAAGGCAGAGGAACTCATGCTCAACAGCTTCCAGTTTTGCCTTGGGATTTGGATGGAATTCTGCTTCCAGGGTGAAGTCACGGCTATGGGGAAACTATTCCGAGTGTGGAGTGGTCTTCGAACTGAGCTGCAGCAAATTCTCAAGACTTCTCATGACGAGTTCCTCACCCCAACAGAAGATGGGCGAACAGTGCGAGCGGAGATGGATCCTTTGGTTTTTGCAAAACATCTTTGCCAAACATTTGCTTCCAAACCAGTCAGCGAAGTTGTGATGGATGATGCTGAAGAAGCAAACATCAAGCGGGTCACAACTGTCATGGCACTACACCAGTCAGACATCGTGGAGCCCCTGAAGAAGTTCATGGCAGAGAAAATGCATTTGCCTCTCATTCTGCTAGACTACCCACTGGTAACCATGAGGCAATTGTCCACCACCATTAACGTGGGCTCTTTCAGGAAGATTGTCGACTTGATGGCGTTCTTGCATTCAAACCTCCAGAACTGCCTCCCTTTCAGCTGGTTTTGCTTCGCACAGGATGTCAGCGACCTGCTGACAGCAAAGGGGCACTTTGTGGAGAATACTGAGAAGGTAGCTTGACTTGGTAATTATGAATCCTTGACCTTTGACTGCCTGCTGGCAGTCAAACAATTTGGCAAAACAACTCAAAGAGTTGAAGCACACTCTAATCGCCTAATCACTGGATGTCAAGCAACATTGTTCTTGTGTTGCGCTGTGACATGGCGTGTGTTTAATGGATTTGAATCTGCGGTGACAGTGTCGTTATTTTTGGTGGCTGGTCCATAAACATGCATCAGTGCATCAGTGTGCAGAGTCCACAGTTTAGAATGACTGATGGTTTGCTGATGATGATTATGATGACCAAACGGAATGATGACGAAAGATATGCAATCACTGCAATCAACCTGCGCAACTGAAACTGTGATCGTTGATCCTTTATTTACGAGTTTGTCAAATTGCTGCAGGCTGTAGGTTCGTCACTTGTCACGTCCACTATCAATACCAAAGGACAAAGGGGTTGAATCAAACAATGACACCTGGTTAAATCAAAAGTGACAATGACAATGATTCATATTTAAAATGATGATGATATATGATTTATGATGATTGTTGATGATGATGAAGGAGAAGAAATGATATGTAACATGTACCTGAACATGTGGATCAATTGCATCTGGATCAATCAACAGTGTTCATGTTGGGCTCAGGAAAAAAACATAAGAGAGCCGGGCTAAGTGTGATACTGATAGATAGCATGCAGCATGCACATAATGCACATGCGCATGCAGTTTCGCCTAGAATTATGGAGAGAGCACCCTCAACTTTCGCACAGTGCACAGCCGACAGCCTGACAGCATCATTGCACTACATACTACATACATACTTGAGCCTTCAACAGATTCTACACAACAGTGTACCAGTGTACCACCTTTGATATCCAAGCACTAAGCACGGCCCGGCACAGTGTGTGATTGCGGTGTATGTTTGGTCTTCGTTTGTGCGTATGGCTTGACACTTTGTGCAGCCCAAGCTCCAACAAATTTATTACATTTACGTGGACTCCACTGATGACTGATGATGAAATCATGTGGCACAGTGGCACATGTGAACCACTGAATCATCAGCCCAGGTCTTCATCTCAGCAGAGAACTTGGAGAAGTTTCTATCACTGAGGGTCCGCTGCACTTCAATGATCTTGTCACAAGCGGTGAAGAATGTGGCTGAGTTATCTATGCCTGAAGAGCGCCCTGAGTGCATTGAAGTCATGTCAAACCTGGAGTCACTTTCAGAAGATGACCCCGCATTCATAGCACTTGTCACCTGCGATGTCCTGCTTAGCTCAGCAGATTGGACTACAACCTGGGCAGCAGCGTTGTCTGAAGCAAGCTCTGTAGAGACTCTGGCTGACAAGTTGCTTAACAAGTTGGGCTTGGACAAAGAGACTATCCAGTGTCAAGCCAACAAGCTGGTCAAGGGCAAACCGATGGACTCAGCTGGTGGCGCGAAGCATGAATCGACTTCAGCCCCAAAGACAGAAACCGGAGACAAACCCGAGGACGGGGACCATGGTGACAATGGCAGTATCATCACTTTGCTTTCAACCAATGTTTTTAGTTTTTGTGTGTGTGTGTGCGTGCTACCAGTTCCTGTGAATTGACGGATTTTCTTTGCCAACTTTCCCCTGTTGGTAACTCCATCAGTCAATTTGTGGCATTTTAGACTGTAGACAGTGGCCGCTGTAGCTGCTAGTATAGCTGAAAGAATTGAAACACACTCGGCACAGACCAACTATATAAATGTAACCTTTACATTTTCTGTACATCTTTAACAAACAAGGCAAGAAGAATGATGGTGATGGCGGTGATGGTGGTGATGCTCCTGAAGATCGCGGTGATGGTCACAGCGGTGGTGATGGTAAAGATGGTGGTGATGTCACCACTGGCAAAGATGGCGATGATGATGGCTCCAAGGACACAAAGATTGATGTGGAGTCAGTGCCACTTTCCTACATGAACGACTATATGGATGAAGCTGCTGCCGGTGGCATGTTTGCAGAATCCTTGGAGGGCAAAGCATTGGCATTGAAGAAACCAGATTTCACAGGTTGCTTCTTCAAGATCTTAGAGTGCAAATTGGAGGCCTTGCTGTGGGACTATTTCCACAAGAATCGTGACAGTCAGTCCACGGTTGTGCTGAACATTTCAGCCAAAAAGCCGGAAGCTTTTGTCACCTTGCCAATTCAGAAGAACACAAGCCTGCCTTTCGTTGGAAGCGTCACTCAAATGAAGACAAGCACTTGCTTGCCCTTTACCAATCTCTTTGGTGTGCCTTTTTACGTGGAGGCCAAGGGTGGCACGACCAGCACAGATGTCATTGTGCCCGCTTGGCAAGTGAAAAGCGTATCCAAAAGTGATCAAGCCTTCTTTCGCATGCACGAGCTCAAGATGCAGATCTTGCTTTCAATGCCCCTTGGCAGTGATGAAGCCCATGACATTGTAATGCAGCTTCTTCCAAAGGATGAGAAGGATGGGATGACCTTTGATCCTAGTCAGAGGCACTTCCATGGGGATGCTTCCGTGCATGTGCTCCAGCCCTTGCCGAATATCGATGCAAAGATTGACAACGAGTTCATGCTGGGGCAGAAACGTGCTGAAAAAACAGCACGCACATTGATTGACAATGCGATCAAGAAGGCTCAATCAGGAAAGCCCGCTTCTTCAGCAAAAGCAAAGGCAGCTTTGGCAGGCCTCAATGTGGACTTGCCTGATGACTCAGAAGAAAGAATGAAAGTTCTTCAGAATCTCATGAATGATTGCAACAAATTAGAGGCAATCGTTTCCAATGCCATCTCCCAGGTGAAGAAGCCCAGTCGTGTTCCAATCACCAAGCTCAGCACGTCTGAAGACAAGGGCAACGTGCGCTCCAAGCACATCCGGGAGTGTCTTGACAAAGCCATGAAGGAAGAGGCGCAAAAGATGTCTTCCTCAACTACCAGCTTGGCAACCCCTGGTGGTGGTGATGATGCAAATGGAGACACTGCTGGAAAGCCTTTGATCGGCGTGCAGGCCGCCATTGATGCTGCAGAGAAGAAGGGCAGTGTGGCACCAAGGCCCAAGAAAGGTGCCAAGAAGAATGATGGGAAGGCTAACCCTGTGGCAGCAGACATGAAAAAACTTGGGAAGCATCTTTTGAAGTGATGTCACGCCGCAAGCCTGAGATTGCAGAAGGTGGAAGAGAGACTCTTTTTCCAGTGTTCTTAGTTCCTTTAATTTGTTTCCATGTTTTGCAGTGGGTGGCTGGTTGGAAAGTGCAGGCCAAACCGAGTACAGGTCAGGTTCGCTTTTGGGATTTGCGATCAGACCGGCCCGTATGTGTACAGGTCTCACAGACGCTTGCGCTTTGGTTTGTGTGACCCTTCCAGCACCCACTGGTTCTGTTTGTTTAGGTGGAACCCAGTTTCGGAGAAAAGACCAGACCCTGAACAAGGGCGAGCAAAGAACAAAGAGCCAAAGGAAAAAACAGAGAGATTCCCAAATGTGCGCATCTGTTGTTTATGCAGTCGTTTTCGTGCTGTGACTGTGATTGTGTCTTTGAATTGGTGATGCGATGTGATATATATACTTGATATGATAAGAATTGATAAGATATGTTTTTGTCACCTTCACCACCACCACCTTCTTCTCTCTAGCTTTGCTTCCCTTGAAAGTCGAGGCAAAACATAATTTCTGGAAATCATCACCACACTCATCACCACACATCTTATCATTCAACACTTCACTGCAACATAGATCACTACTTTGCCCCTGGACCTTTCCTACTCCATATCATCACAAGTCACCACACAGTTTGCTTCCTCAATTCTTCTCTCAAGACCTGCTTGAGCCCACCCCCATCACTTTGGAGACTCCAAAGGGTACAAGTCTCCAAAACTCAATACACAGAATGGCTTCGCACCTTCGCTAAAACTGAACGTTACGACTTGTGGGGCAGTCTTGTAGGACACTCTTGTGGGACACTCTTGTGGGACACTCTTGTAGGACACTCTTGTGGGATACTCCTGTAGGACACTCTTAAGGGACACTCTTTTGAGACACTCTAGTGGGACACTGTTGCGGGACACTCTTGTGGGACTCTCTTCCAGCTCCCCAGATACTCCGCGTAGTAAAGTTGTACTACAAGGTCGCCAGTTCTCAGCTTCCAGCTCCCCAGATACTCCACGTACTACAGTTGTACTACAAGGTCGCCAGTTCTC